TTCAAGGTTCAACTTACCAAGGAAAATGGGTGAAAGACTTGTGCCATACATTGAGAAACTTACCAAGAAACTTCAGTCAACCACTTACCAATAAAAGTTTACAAGTTGCGAGGTGTATTGGGCCACTTATTGTGTCCCTTAGTCCATAAACCCCTCCTATGACTAGATACACGACGACTTGACCCTCTCACTAAACATCAATATCTAACATTGTCACATGACATCAACCTAATTTACTCAGTTTTCTTATTTTGTTATATAAAGGTCATATCAGCATATGAAATAATGGACCTAATACCCAACATCTTACTAGTCGACACATGACATGCCCGCTCACTGAACACCCGCACCTAACATTGTGACATGGCACCAGGCCCTGTCTCATAACTTTTCATGTTCTACCTTATTTAAAATCATAGCACCATGTGCCGTGAACCTTAGTGACACCCTAAAATCCCTCATGTAACTAGCTGTCATAGCAAATTGACCCCCTTACTGAGCTACTGATACCTAATAGCTCGACACAACACCCACCTCATATCCCCGAATATGTCATTTTGTCCCTCTATATAAGACACAGCACCATATGCAGAGACCATTCAGTGACCTCCAAAATGTAGGCAGCTGACATGACAAATTAACCCCTCACTGATTCACCAAAACCTAACATCGTGACACGACCCACGCTAATTTGCCACATACATTTTTTTTTCTGTTCATTTTCACTTTCTTTTTTAAAGTCATAACATCATATGCAGTGATACTCAATGACCCTAAAACCCCTCATGCAACTAGTTGATATGACAACTTGACCTCTGAGTAATCCACTTCCAGCCAACACTATGGCATGACATCCACTCCTTTGCCATATTTTTCAATTTCATTGTATATAAAGTCATAGCACCAGATCACTCAGGAGCACTAACACCCCTAAAACCCTCATGTAACTAGCTGACACGACAACTTAAAACCTCACTGAGCCGCTCGCACCTACAGCTATGACAAGACAGCCCTTTTGCCACATTTTTTTCATTTGTATCTACATGAAGTCACAACAACATATGCACAGGAGACCATGATGACCCCTGCTCCCTGTACGGCATGCTTGTAAATGACCGTCTATTGCTATTAAGGTCTACTGTGTTCGTAAATTGTTGCTGTGATTGTTATTCGACACATTCTTCGTTAATATAAATTTCTGTAACCTATGGTGCCATTTCAATGGTTTGAAATGAATTATGTCCGCATTCCATAGTTGTGGATTTCAAGCTGTACGATAGGCATGGCCAATAAGACACCTTTTTTTTGGGGGGGGGGGGGGGGGTGCCTAGTTGGCCATGTTCTTAGTGCACTTGTATTCATGGCGAGGCGCAGACGCCGTCTGGAGGTGACAGGTTCAATTCTCGGAACGGTAACTATAGCTTTCGATTTTTATGTTGTCTAGTGTGTTCTTCTATCTTTCTACTTCTTTCTATGAGTGCCGATCAGTACATTTTCTGTTACTTGATTAATCTGTCTGCCTCAGTACGAGATTCCGTTGAACATTAGGCAAAATCTCCCCAAACAGAGTTAGTCCCGCCCATTTACGCGCTAGGTCACTTTTCATGTTCGACTTTGTTGAGAGTTACGGGTATGTCCCGCTCTATGGTTTGCTTTCTGTGTTGTCTTCCATTTATATTTTCATTCCGAGAAAGGGAATGCTTGTGACATTTGTTGTAGCACTCTCGTAGGGCGGTTGTGTTAGGGCCAGTGCTCCAAGTTTTTGGAGGGTTAAAAGCACTGGCTTGCTGAAATGTACAACACGCTATATCAACGGTATCGGAACACCCCATAAACTTGTGCGAAGGTGACTAGGCTCAGGAACTACCAATCAAAAGTGACCTAGTGTGTGTGTAGGCGGGGTTATCTCTGTGTGGCGAGATTTGCGTTAAATTTACCAGAGGCTCTATAAGAGCCACCAGGTGATTTGAAACCACCTAGTGTGGAAATCGTTTTCTTTTTTCTTATAAATAGTCATAGAGACACTGAGTTTTGTTTTTGTTAGATATATTGAGCCATTTTTAACAGAAGTTATGTAAGGAAAGGGCCCAGAAAATATGAAATTTAGTTGTATATACTACTTATACACACACACATAAGAAAGCGAGCAATAAACACCCGGGACACGAAGTGCCATCATTCGGATGAGAATCACCCAAGTCTAAGAAATCCAGTTCAACCCATATATATAAATATGCGTGGAGAGAGAGAGAGAGAGAGAGAGAGAGAGAGAGAGAGAGAGAGAGAGAGAGAGAGAGAGAGAGAGAGAGAGAGAGAGAGAGAGAGAGAGAGAGAGAGAGAGAGAGAGAGAGAGAGAGAGAGTTACAGTTAAGCAACTTTACAGTTTCAAAATGTGCTATTAAAATTGCTTGCTTGAGTTTGATAACTAGGCAATTAGACAATGCCATAATCACCACTACATTATATGTATGCCACTTGGAGTTCTTGTATATGTGTTTATTGTATGAGAAACCGGGACAAATCCACACTTACTAATGTTTATCTTTGATGACATAACCAGTGATAGTCCAGAGTGGGAACCATTGTTAGGTCCACGGGAGACAATCCTGGAAGACTTACCAACAGAATCTACACAAATCGACGTCTTTTACAAGCATGGCTTTCTGCGTATTTGACGTCATTGAATACCGTGTGAGTTATTGTCATCGAGTGCCATATCGACTGGCGTAGGCCATGATTCACGCATTTGCACAAACCACGCTGTCCGAAGCATGTATCAATCCATGCCATGATACTCTTACATTCGATGACAGAAAGCTGTCAAGAATCTTGTCACTTTGTCTTCCTTTCAACAAATATTACCAGTCGTCACAACATGATCCATTTTTTTTTTCTTATTAGTTGTCCAGAATGACAACTGTCTCTTTGTTTTTGTTTGCATTAGGTTATATTGGGGCCCTCGATATGTCAGTATAACAGAATTACACATTTTAGCTGTTTTATTCATTTAACTCATTCAGCACCAAGCAGTGTTTGGGACTCAAGTTGCGCGATGTGCATTCGAATCCGACTTCAGTCGCGTATGACTTGCTACTAACTTGGAATTTTGTCAAGCAGCTCGCGATACGTAGCTTCGACGACTTGGTACGACTGGTGATCAACGTCACATTTTAAAGTGTCTTGATATAAAACGGGCATAATAAATTATGTTTCGATTTATCAAACTTTCTTGTTTGATTTCTTCTGCGTTTATGTATAGTTAGTGAATTTATCGCACTGTCATTTCGGATTTTGTATTTTATCCCTTTTTGACTGATGCATAAGAGCATTTCTCATTCGTGACTTGCAAAAAACTTAAAGCAACTTGACCCAGGGCTCGATTTTAAAGCATTCTTGTTCACTTGAGACTTGAAACTTGATGGCAGGGACTTGGGACTCGACTTAGTCTTGAAGGTTGACGACTTAGTGCAACTTCTGGTAGCAAGCACTTACTACTTCAACTCATTATATCCAAAGGAGTTGATCTTAACAATAATAACTATTTAGATCTGGAGTAGTTTTAAAGAGACACTGTGGGAGGTGAGTTGTTAGAGTATTAATTTGTCTAACTTTCTATAACAATGATTAATTGCATAGGATGTTCTACATTTTATAAAGTATAGTTTTTGCGTGTCCCATTCTATTCTCTGTGTGTGTGTGTGTGTGTGTGCGTGGGGGAGGGGGGGGGGTGCACACGCATGTGCGTTTTATATCTTCCCTCTAATAAGAATGTGGGAAGAATATTACAGTAACTGAGGGGATGTGTCCAATTCCCGTTCTCTTGTCTTTTCAACTTCTTATGAAACATTTTTAAACACATTGGAGATTTGCCTAGACTGCCCATCATGCAGAAAAACATATTAGCAGCCAGGACAGATCCATCAGTGCTCTGATCTTCTTCTGCATGGTTTCACAAGTGTAAAATGACCGATAACGCCTTTTATATGTTGATTAATAAAATGTATTTGTTCTGTAAAATGCTCATGTTTCGCAGCTCCAGGTTTCACCCCAATTCCGACTTGCCAAGATGGGGATATGCTGTTGTACTCAGTGTGGTAATCATTTTCGACATGCGTCACACAAGGCACGGCTGCTGATCAATACAAGGCCGTGATGGCACCGCTGCTGATAAATATAAGGCACTTGATAATGATGATGATGACGACACAAAGTTCCACCATTAGGATGAGCTCCTCTTTTTTCCTCCATGCTCAGGTCCAAGGCACCCCGTTCAAGCGTGAGGTTATAATTAAGACCCCCCCCCCCCCTTTCCCCAGACGACGGTTACGAAGTAACCTGAGGTCAGCCGACGTGGGGATTATATATATATATATATATATATATATATATATATATATATATATATATATATATATATATATATATATATATATATTTTTTTTTTTTTTTTTTTTTTTTTTCTTAAAGTCTTATTTCGGGATAACACATGCCATTGCTTGTAAGTGGGTGCTTTGCTGGGGAAAAATATCGTCACGTTCAATAAGCATACTTTACGGTAGAGTTTGAGTTATAATTGTGACAAGATTATGTGCGCCATATAAAACGGCTTAGAACCGCACGCCACCAAGAGGCACAAGGACTCCGTCAGAGTCGATGCGATCAAAGGGTACAGACTCAAATACTGTCCCTAATGGCGACGAAGTCGTCTAAGCCGATGCACGCCACTGCGGCTCCGGTTAGATTTTTTATGTACTGTACCGTACAGACTTCTTCAGTGTTCAGAGATTAGGTAATATACTCCAAGATAAACATCAGTAGTTGAGTGGGTCTTGTGTTTGTTAATGTTAGCTTAGTTAGTGACACCCCAGGGTATCTTGTTTTTGTCTCCCTTGTTACTTTTAGCCAGCCCCGAGTCTCACTGATTCATGCATGACTACTGTATGTTAACCACAGATCTACGGTTCATGCTTCATTAGCTTACGCTATACTATACTTAGTGTATGATTTGTTTCCTGACTTTACTTTCTGTGGTAGTTAAGGTAACCCAGAACTTCAAAATCAGCTTTTCGTCTGACAAAAGAATGGCCTTCTCCCTGTGGCATAAACTAATTTTCGCACTTGTTATTATCGCCGCAGTTATAATTGGACAACTAATAGTTAACAGAACTTGCAGTTTCCAGGTAGCGGCGGTTGTATTTAGGATACAAATGATTGGACTCATTCAGACAGGGATGTTTTTGTTGTCACGCTTGATTATCTGGAGGACGTTTGTGCCACTTGTTCGTCAGCTGTCACCTCAGTGTTCTACAAGTGCAATTCATCAGAATGATTCAGAGTTTAGTCGAAGTCAGTTGCGCAAAGTCAAGAACTCTGATCTTAATCTTTCTGCTATGAACAAAGATGAAGCAGATCATGTCAGTGTGACAATAGGAAAAGCGGTGTTGTTTATCTATTTATGTATGTGTCATGTTAGCTATCTCACAAATTTATTTCTTATCCACACTGACCCCCACTGGATCAGCATGCTAACATACGCCAGCTTTGGTTCATATATTCAGTTGCTGACAGGCTTGGGCATGTTTAAACTATTGTCTTTGGGAATTTGTGCGTGCCAGAAGCTTAGGAGCTCGTCAAATCCTTGGGTTTTATCCTACAGACATATCACGGCACTTGCCTTAGTGTATGCGATTGCTGCTTCCACTGTTGGGTTGTATACAGCATCACAGCCTCCAGCAGTGAAACATGTTACAGTTAAGTTAAAGGATTTGCCTTCACGTCTGGACGGACTAAGTATAGTCCAGCTGAGTGATATACATTTGGGACCCACTGTTGGAAAGTCAAAGTTGACCAAAATAGTAGAGATTGTAAACACAGAGAAGCCAGGTAATTCAGCAACATTTAAGTTTGAGGGTTTCTTGTTGTCTTAATACATGCACAGTCAAGTGTGTGTGTGTGTGTGTGGCTGGTTGTATGCAAGCAGGACAGTATTTAAAGACATGTGAAGCTGCATAGAGAAGCAACATTTTGAGAGTGGTGAAATAAAATATAACTAGTACTAATAATACTAATAAAATGTTAATATTTGTATTTGTTTTTTTATTATAAAAGCCACATTAGATTAGCGTTTTGGCATTAAAACAGTATATCAGTAGGGATGCTGAAATTTAGCTGAAGGGAAAAGAGGACGTAAAATAAATGACTGCACAGGGGCATCTTACATCCTAAATACAGCCTCCCATGCTGCATATAACAGTTAACAAAATAAAATCACTGATTAAAACGTAGTTCCATATCAAACGAACGTACGAACGAACAAACTTTATTTTCAAAGGGTCACAAATTGGGCACGCAGGCCCGTCTTACATTCGGCCTTTCCAAACACCCGTCTTTCACGCTGCAGCTGTTTTTTTTAAAATCAATAAGCATGTTATATTCATATGATAATATGCATATTATGAATTTCAAAAAAGAGAAAAAAAAAAAAAAAGCATGAGGTCACAAACCAGCCCCAGTATTTGTTGCCTGCTTGTGGTTTTACTAAGGACTTTTATGTTCTGTAGTTTGCCTTTGATTTTAAAATGGTGGGTACCCAGCAATCAGTGCAAAGCAGTCTGCTGCCAAAATGCTTGCAGCTGAATCGAACCGAGCATGACATGATTATAAAATTGCATTCACGACCCCTAAGCCAAAGATTGCCAGCAGTAATAAATGAGCCAAAGATAAGTGTTATTTTTTACATAGCCTATTAAAGAAACTTAACCCTCCCCATCACCCCCTCTCAATTCCCCTCCGCAGCAATGGGTGAATTGTACATATGATGCATGAACTTTATTTTTTATACACCGTTCATCTTTAAAATGCACGGGCTCACTTTATTTTGCCCTGACATTTCCTAGTACATATTTGAGGCTTGGTCAAGAGCCCTAGGTCAATTATATAAAATTTTACAGTTTAAGTTGAAAGGATCAACTTCATTGCACTGAGTTTGATCCCAAATGGCTGTCTCTCTTCACAGAATAGGCAAGCTGCCAGGGGAGAGCATCATGATCAAAAGGGTCTCCTCAAGTATTGTTGAACCAGACAGTCCGTAACAAATCAACAAAACATGCTTGTGAACACCAATTGGCAATACATTTGATGATTGTTATAAAATATGTCAGATTTTCATTCTGCCTTTGCCCTCAAATGGGTGGTTAGCACATTTTGTTGTGGTTTATAGCTGGCTGCAATATCTACACTTTTGGGCCCAACTCGTCTGATTTCAGCAAAGCCCTAATTAGTCACCTTTTATTATGTGCTTGCTAGGAGGCTTTGGGTCTGTTATTTTCCTCCCCAAACTATTGCCCTGAAGCCCGCACATGGAGTTTTTGTAAGTAAGGACTTGTTTCAATTTAATGTTGGTTTTAAATTATGTCAGGCTAAATTGTTGAATCTTCTTCTTGTTTGTTCACTGTCTGTAAGCTCTGGTGGAAAAGTCCTGGTTTTTGGCTTTGTGCCTGAGTTTTGCTTGTACATCCATTTTACTGGCTAATGTGTGTGCAGCTGGTTGTTCATTGCCTCTCGGGCAGATGCACTCCAACTTGGAGGGAGGTCCCCAATTAGTTGACTCCTATGACATGATTGTTGTTGAGGCAGTGGGTCTATTCTCGTTTTCCCCACACACTGGCTGGGGTTTTGGAACCCACACAGAGAAAAATGGAATGAAATATAACTTGTTGCTGTTGTATTTCTTCAGACATTGTGGTTGTCACTGGTGATTTAGTTGATTCATCCGTGGAACACCTCAGAGGAGCAGCAGAGCCACTCAAGGACATTCATTCGTTATATGGCAAATTCTTTGTCACAGGTAAGTTTTGTTACATCTTGCTTTAGATGAAAACAAATTGTTATTATTTCAAAAATAATTGTATTTCTGTCCTCATTTTACTCAGTAAAAAGTGGAAAAACTTGATTGAGCAGGTGGCAACTAGAAATGTTTATTCCTCTTCTCACACGGCTGGTAGGGTGATGCCAGGAGTTACCAAGGGATCTGGCTGATGCTCAACACTTAAGGAAAAGACAGATATACAATCAGACAGGAATTAGAACTTTTCGTTTGCTGCTGAAGATTGGGAACGGAGCTCTTATGGGAGTGTCCTGAGTGCTGTGATGTCAATTCTTAATTCAGCATTTAACAATGGCTGGCAGATTCTCAGAATCAGCTTCATTATTTCACTCTTTCAGTACCAAACAACCCACAACTTATTAGTTTCTGCCAGCATGGTCTGCTTGTCTCAGCACCTTCTCCCCCGAGCAAGACTGAAGAATTCTGCCCCAGTTGTCATTATGACCCCTTCTGCTTCATGGTGTTATAGTTTTAATTTTTTCAAGCCTAAACATTTGTCAAAGTAACAGCATGTTAAGCTAAAATGAGGTAAGGTTAAACATGCCTGGGAGAACGAGTTTATAGTCTCTAACCTTTTTCTCAACAGCTGATCATCAAATATTTGTTTTTTCCTCATTTGTGCAATTGTAAGGGACATTATACAGATTTGCACAGCTTAGTTTTTTTCTATGAAAAAAAATGGTTACTAGTTATTGGTAGCCACCTCCAAGTATCTAAAAGAAAACAGAAAACTGCTGGTATTCACCACAAAGTGTCTATTACAGTAGCGCTGAAACAATAATGCATAAAAAGGTGCCAGTACTGCATACCATTGTGTACCACCATAAGGAAAATCCCTACAGATTTGAATCTATAGAAGAAATGGTTACCAGTTACCAGTACCCATCTGAGTTTCTAAAAAATAAAGTGCATTGTCATGCTTAAAGCAACCTGTCTTTCTTTTCTTGACTCCCAGGGTTTCTCGGCGTATCTCAGTGTGGTCTGACATTTCCTATCTCACACTTCCGTGTCAGCATTCCCGTTGTTGATTTATCAGCACTTATGGTACATGTTAACCTTTGACCGTTACTGTCTTACACAAAGGTCTCTGGTTCATATTCACATCAAAGCTGATTTTAATAATTGACCTGGCCCTTCAGTTCTATCCAGTCTGAAATCAGTAACAGAAAATGTCCTAGAAGTAAAGGTGGTTGGGTTGACGTTTACCTCATCACCCATCGAGTACTGATTGGTCTTCACGCAATCTGGGTCTAGCACCATATGTCTTGTGTCTCCTGTGGCATGGGAGCACCACAGCTGGATCTGTCAGTAGCCAGAAAAAGTCCTTGACTTTTGTGACTTTACTGAACAGTAAATACAGGTAGCTTTCCATGATTTTCTTGTGATTGACACGTGAAAGGTAAATGTCATTACAACAGGCAACCATGAATACTACACTGGTGATGTGGACAACTGGTTCGTTTATCTGCGGTCTCTTGGCTTCACTATCCTGCACAACAGCAATGTGAGAATCCCTTCTGCTGATGGCCACAGCCACATTTGCTTGGCTGGAACTGATGATATCCAGGCGGACAGAACAAGGTGGGTTTATCTGCTTCTGCATTACCATTGTTTCTGTTTATTTTGATTACTTCTGTATCCACTAGAGGAACTGATGATATCCAGGCGGACAGAACAAGGTGGGTTTATCTGCTTCTGCATTACCATTGTTTCTGTTTATTTTAATTACTTCTGTATCCACTAGAGGAACTGATGATATCCAGGCGGACAGAACAAGGTGGGTTTATCTGCTTCTGCATTACCATTGTTTCTGTTTATTTTGATTACTTCTGTATCCACTAGAGGAACTGATGATATCCAGGCGGACAGAACAAGGTGGGTTTATCTGCTTCTGCATTACCATTGTTTCTGTTTATTTTAATTACTTCTCTATCCACTAGAGGAACTGAAATATATTTTTTGCTGTCCGTTACAAATTCCCTAAAAGCTACCCTCAGTTTAAGCAAACTATCTATTCTAAAAAACCATTTTTATTGGCCTGTGTACTGTTTGAAATTGTGCAATGTTTAGATGGACCTGATGTTGACTAAAATTAGCAGCTGAAGATATGAAGTATTGGTAATTGTCACTGCCTGTTCTACAGTGGAGTTACAGTGGTCATGACGTAATCAAACTCTGTAGAATTTCATAACAACATCCATAAAGTTAGCATTACAAGTTTTGTCAGTGGTATCTTGTTAATCACACTGTATGGTAGAATATAAGGAACAACTGACAAAATGAACCCTAAAGTCTGTCATAACATGTGTTTCAGAAATGATGGCCACAAGTTTGATTTGGATCAATATTTTAACTTGAACAGTAGAATAAATGACAGTACTAGAATATATGACATTACTAAAATATATGAAATTACTAAAATATATGACATTACTAGAATATATGACACTACTAGAATATATGACATTACTAGAATGTATGACATTACTAGAATGTATGACATTACTAGAATATGTGTCATTACTAGAATATGTGACACTACTAGAATATATGATGTTACTAGAATGTGTCACATTACTAGAATATGTGACACTACTAAAATATATGACACTACTAGAATATATGGCATTACTAGAAAATATGACTGCTAGAATATGTGACATCACTAGAATATGTGACATTACTAGAAAATATGACATTGCTAGAATAGTGACATTACTAGATTATATGACATTACTAGAATATGTGTTATTACTAGAAAATATGACATTGCTAGAAAAATGACATTACTAGAAAATATGACATTGCTAGAATATGTGACATTACTAGAATATGTGACATTACTAGAAAATATGACATTGCTAGAATATGTGACATTACTAGAATATGTGAAGCTACTAGAATATATGACATTACTAGAAAATATGACATTATTATAATATTTGACATTACTTGAATATATGACATTACTTGAATATATGACATTACTAGAAAATATGACTGCTAGAATATGTGACATCACTAGAATATGTGACATTACTAGAAAATATGACATTGCTAGAATATGTGACATTACTAGATTATATGACATTACTAGAATATATGACATTACTAGAATATATGACATAACTAAAACATTGAATCCACTATTTTGAGTTGATGGGTGTGTCACCCCTTGTATTTCAGATATGATGGCCACAAGTTTGACTTGGACAAAGCTGTCAGCTCATGCAGTAGTGATAAACCAGTCATTCTGTTGGCACATCAGCCACATGCTGCAAAGATGGCTCTTGACTCCAAGTACCGCATTGACCTAGTTTTATCTGGTATGCATTGTTTCTTTACAACAGAATTGTACAGTCCGTTGTAATGGTAATATTTTGTTAACAGCCAAGAAGTGGTCCCAACACAAGAAGTGGTCACAACACAAGAAGTGGTCACAACACAAGAAGTGGTCACAACACAAGAAGTGGTCACAACACAAGAAGTGGTCACAACACAAGAAGTGGTCACAACACAAGAAGTGGTCACAACACAAGAAGTGGTCACAACACAAGAAGAGACAGAAGGGACTCTCTGCAGGTTTGTTGAAAGACGCTTGGAAGTATTTACTTGCACTATAAAGTTCTACATCTTGTATGATGCTCAGAGGACAAGATGCTAACTTCTTCTTTTTTTTTTTTTTATGTCTCTTATACCATGTTGTAGCCCAGGGTTGTGGTTTTCTCTACTTGTCTTGTGCTTCTTGGGTGGCTTGGCTGATGGATTTGTTCATCTTATTTGCAGATCTTCCCCTTGCCTTCCTCCCAGATGTTTTGCTCTAAACAATCTCATATGCATTCTGGTCTGGCTGCATTCTCATACTTGGTCGAACCATTGCATTTTTTGTGTGTGTGTGGCCTGTCAATAATTCAGACACAGTCTTATTCCAACTTTCTCTCTAATTCTGGTATTTGTAACTCTCCCTTCATGTGTTACTAGTAACCTTATGGAGGTAACTCTCCCTTCATGTGTTGCTAGTGACCTTATGGAGACAGTGCATTTCACAGATAGTTATTTTCTGTTCTAGTGCTCTGTGCATGCTAACGACTAGTGCATTCTAACAACTGCGTTATAGTTACTCTCTAATATACAGAGGAGGAAAACATTGGATTAACTTTGGCTGTCTGTACAATTTGTAGGCTTTGAATCCCCACCAAGGAAGGAATACTTTGAAAACTGACTGGCTCCTAGGTTGGCTTAATATGAAATGTTATGAGAAGAAGAGGCAGTGAACATGATATGCACAACATTGCCTGTGGAGCACAAATTGGTTGATATGTGGCAAGCACTACATACGCAGTGTGCCATAAAGGCCCCAAGATAGTTCTTTTCCCTTTATTTTACCTATGTATTTTGAATTAGCAAGTTTTGAGGGGGGAAAAACCTGTTCATCATGAAGTTGAGTGCTTGCTAGCCAAGAACAGGGATGTACTTGTTTCAGTATGAAATTGAGTGCTTGCTAGTCAAGAGTTCAGAGGTACTTGTTTCAGCATGAAGTTGAGTGCTTGCTAGTCAAGAACATGGAGGCACTTGTTTCAGCATAAGGTTGAGCACTTGCTAGTCAAGAACAGGGATGTACTTGTTTCAATATGAATTTGAGTGCTTGCTAGTCAAGAACATGGAGGTACTTGTTTCCTGATGAAGTTGGGTGCTAGAAAGTCAAGCACACAGAGGTACTTGTTTCAGCATGAAACTGAATGCTTCCGAGCCAAGTACCTGGCAGTATATTTTCATCTTAAAACTAAGTGCTTGTAATCATATACTTAGAAGAACTTGTTCATCTTGAAACTGAATGCTTGTAGGCAAGTACATGGGAGTACTTGTTCATCTTGAAACTAAATGCTTGTAATCAAGTTCTTGTTCATCTTGAAACCAAATGCTTGTAGTCAAGTACTTCTTCATCTTGAAACTGAATGCTTCAAGCACATGGAAGTACTTCTTCATCTTCAAATTGAATGCTTGTATTTAAGTACATGGAAGTACTTGTCATCCTGAAACTGAATGCTTGTATTCAAATGCATAGAAGTACTTGTCATCTTGAAACAGAGTGCTTGTATTCAAGTACATGGGAGTACTTGTCATCTTGAAACAGAGTGCTTGTATTCAAGTACATGGGAGTACTTGTCATCTTGATACTGATTGCTTGTATTTAAGTACATGGAAGTTCTTCTTTATCTTGAAACTGAATGCTTATATTCAAGTACCTGGCAGTACTTGTTCATCTTGAAACTGAATGCTTGTATTCAAGTACCTGGAAGTACTTGTTCATCTTGAAACTGAATACTTGTTGTATTCAAACACATATGAGTACTTGCTCATTTTGAAACTGAATTCTTTCTTGCTTAGAGCGCTAGAGGTGCATAGTGGAGGCAGTTTCATGTTAGTCTACCATCCCCTGCCATTCATCTGGTCTTTTCCTTGCATTGTCTGTTGTATAAATGACTAGTAATAATCTGTATAGAAAACCTTTCCAAAAGACACTATGAAAGATACAAATGTTATAATACTTCAGTGAAGGCTGCCAAATATTTCAACTCCTTTCTGTTCTGTTTCAGGTCATACTCATGGAGGTCAAATGTTCCCAATGATTATCGGGGCTTATTTTCTGAATCCATTTTATGTTGGTTTGTATCAGTATGGTAACAGAGGCAGCCAAGTGTATGTGTCACCAGGGACTCAGTACTGGGGCATTCCCATGAGAATCGCCACATCAATGGAAATTACTAGAATTACCTTGCACAAGGCCATCTAATACAATTGCCAAGTTTGTCAGAAGTTCCTTCTCAATCATTCGGTCCAGAGTAATTCATCATCCTTGTGGAAATCCATCAGCTCATTATCCCTCATTCAATTGGAGCCTCATCCTTGTTCAAGGCTCAGATAAACTACCATCAGGTTTGTCCCATAGTTTCCATCACTCTTTAATCTGTCCAGAGTATTGTATAATACATACTAATGTTGCCATCCATAGAACCCCTGGCAATCTTTCAGCTCAGAGTATTTCATCATGTGTGACTGGCTCTTCCCTCTGAATTCTAACAATCCTGTAATGTATTTACTTATTTGGTCAGAATATACTCAAGGAATCTGGCATCTCCAAAAGCCACTTCAACTGTTTTTCTCTTTGTAAGTTATATACTGTAGATTTTTTTTTAAGTTATTTAGTTCAAGTAGGTAATATACTGTAGATTTTTTTTTTAAATAAGTGTTTGTTTAGTTTTTTGGAGACGATTTAGGAAATATACTGTGTGTTGGTTTTCCTCATTTTTAAATTCAATTTGTAGGTTTACATTTACTTTGTTTTCTAAAAAAAAAATAACCTGTTTATATTTTATCATATTTCTGATATCAAATGTGTCTCCATTTTGCCACAGTAGGCAAGCTTGAATTTCTGAATTACCCTGAGAGCCATGCCAGTAGTATCATAGCTGTCACACAGGTCAGTTAGAGAAGAGACCAGAGAGACTGGTCCTCCAGATTAGGGGTTGATGCGTGGGCCAGACGCAGCCCCTCCCCTTGTGAAACCTCATTTCATCAGAAAATAAATAGATGTCTAAGCCTCAAATGAATGGAGGTGGGTGATATCTGCAGCAATGAACCTCAAGGGCTCAGAATGCTGAAGAAGAAAGATTGTTTTTTATCAGTATTTCTATCTATTCATGTGTTGTTTCTACTTTAATATATATATATATATATGCGTGCGTGAGTGTGCGCGCATGTGTGTGCACGCGCGTGTGTGTGCATGTGATAGGTGAGGGGAGTTCCTGTCTTGTCTGCAACAGATAACAATATTCAATCAATCCGGTGCCATCTTCACAATAAAGGTTGGCTGCATTTGATCTCTATCACTTGTCCTGGTTGTATACTCTCAGACTTCTGTTTGTCAATCTATGGATGTGACCCTTCCACTTGTAACATTGTCTACATTTTGCTCTCTTGCCCTCAGCCTTTTCCTCCAGTATGGTTTTTCAAAACGTATTATGTATTATATTATGGCCAAAATATGTCCCTTTTTTGTGTCTTTCAGCAGTTGTATTTTCATTCGTAGTCTTTCTAGAACCACTGTAGTTGTTTCCATGAAATGCAACCTATCCTTGTGTATATCCATATTTCTAGAGACTCAGTGGATTTTTCTAGAAGCCTCTTCATTATCTAAGTTTCTGCACCATACAGCAGGGTTGAGTATACATAACATTTGATGATTCACATTGTGATGCATCTACACATTGCTGAAATGTCCAAGCATGTCTGAGGAGGCTCAGTGTCTGGGGCCTTATTTCCAGGCATTGAGTGGCTGGCAGAGTGGTATGTAGTGATTATATCTCAGTGATTGCTTTACTGATTTTGAGCTATTGAGATCAAAGCCCTATGCATCAGTCTGGAGTGTTGGGATGATAGTCCGCACTAACAACTATATCTCATAACATTGGTCATGGAAGACCAGTATTCATACTGAATACATGAGGAGTGGTCTGAACTATTTCGATAGACAAATGACGCATATTCTGTTCTGTTCTTCACTATTTGTTTTTGTGTTTGAGATGAATATTCTATGCTTGATACTGAGAATAATTTCCTGATATACTTTACAAATCAGATCAAAGGATGCTTAAAGCATAAGCATTTCATACTTTGTAGTGTCAGTATGTTCCAAGAATGCACATGGCGGTGATAATAGTGATTTTTTTGCAGATTGTTTTGTTGGCTGATGTGAACACTCACTCATCATCATCATCATGTAGCAGATCCTTTGCAGAACGTCGCTCTCATCACAGTTTGCCTGAAAGAAACTCGGTCTCTCACCAGTTCTCCCGCCTCATAAACTTTCACACTCAAGGAGTCACTTATATCCTGTGCCCATCTTCGTGCCGGTCAGCCCCTGCCTTTCCTTCCAGGTACCATGCCTTCTGCTATAATTTTTTCCAATCCGTCCTGGCGCTTGATATGACCAAAATATTTCAGCTTTTGTGAAAGGATGCTGTTTATTAGCCAATCTTCCTTGATGTTCAGATCTTTTAAGATGTCAATATTTTTAATCTTCTTTGTCCAAGATATTCTGAGAATCTTTCTATAGCATTTCAGCTCAAAAGCCCCTATTCTTTCTTAAGGACTGAGAGATAGTCCACGACTCACTCACATATTTGTATGTAGCCAGAGGGAAGATGCATGCTCTCAAAATTCTAATTTTTATCTCCTTGCTGGTGCTTAACCATTGACTTTTAAGGCTGTTCAAACACTCACTAGCAGATTTAAACTTAAATACAAATGATCTGTTATTTAGCAGAAATAAACACTCACCTACTCTTTTCACCTAACAGTGTTGTTAACAAATATGAACACTCATCTAGAAATTTGAACTTTTATACAAATCAACTGTTTTTTTTTTAGCAGGAATTAACACACACCTACAAATTCCTATTCACCTAACTGTATAGTTAACAGATATTAACACACACCTAGAAATTTAAACTTCTATTCAAATTAACATCAGTAACCTTATTTAGGTTTTAAGGAGGCATATACTTACCTACAAATTCATACCTATACAAATAAGCCATTTTGTTTGTGAACATGATAAAAGCCTTCCTTAAGTGATCATGTGGAGGCAGTTGCGATGAAATGCTAAAAAGGACTCAATGCTCTCAAGATTATGACGGCAGTGAACAAAGAATTATGTTCACAATGTTCCAGCATGTGATCCTGTTGGTAATAGATTATAGATTTGGAATGCTTATCATTTCAGAGAGTCAGCTGATACAAATTGACATACAGAATAAAGGATGTACAAGAGATACCCCGGTAGTATGTATGTAATATATACTTGCACTGCCTACTATTGCAGATAGACTCAATCTAATGCAAGCAAAGTAATATCTCAGAGTAGCTGCAGACAAGAAGCTGCATGAAGCCCTAGGTACAGCTAAGGGTTACAGACTGAAAAGAGGAAGGTCTTGGATGGTGCAAGCTGAAGACACAATTAGACTTGTGTGCAGGCTTAATACATTTGGGGGAGGAGAGGAGTGGGTCAAAGCGTCCAAGCAAGAATCAGACTAGACTGGGGTTCTAATAACTTTAGGTCTTGAGTGTAGAGACTGGCCAGCTGGTGCTGCAGAATCAGAAATTCAACAAAAGATTCATGACAGTTTCTGCTCAGGTAATGTTATTGTCTGTACAGATGGCTCTGTGTTGAGAGGCAGACAAAGTGCAAAAAAAGCCAACAGACATTGCTTAGTGCAGCATATGAAATCACAACGTCTAGTTTGTGAATGGAGGTAAAGGCAGTCACTGCTGCCTTGAGAATCAGCTGTACACACATATCATCATTGTAACTGACTCACAGAGCATGTTGAGAAAGGTGGAGACAGGCATGCTCTGTGCAGTGGCAAGCATCACTTCGGAGGTCCCGGGTAGTTAGCGTCCTTTGGATATTTACTCTAGGTCATGCTGGTGTGTTGGGAAATTAGCAGGCAGATAGACTGGCCGGCTCTGCATCACTTGGTGGTGAACTGATGTATGACAAGCTGGATGTTGTGAGGGCCCTTTGAGAGCGAGTGAACAGTGCGGAGTCACACAAAAATCATTACAATCTGAGGAGAATGGCGCCGCGAGGAGTTACCGTAGGATCTGGCCGAAGTTCAACACTCAAGAGAAAGTTGAGACGGAAATACAATCAGACCGTTACTAGTGCCATCAGAATTGGAACTCTTTGCTTGCAGCTGAAGATGGGGACCTAGGGCTTATGTCAGTTTCCCAGGTGTTGTGATGTTGATTCTTAATTCAACACAGTGGATATGAATACTCACCTACAAATGCATCCCATACAAATGAGCCATTTTGTAAGTAGACATGAACATTCACCTACAACTCAGATATAATCATACAAGCATGGTTTTTACTGCAGTAGAATAAGTATAAAACACAGGACCAGACTTGATAGAAAACATCTTTTATTTCATTTGCAGACAAATGTTTGTGACATTCAGTTTTTGTTTGTTTTTCATATCGTGAGCTCTCATTTGTAAGGATGTACTTGGGCTAAAATGCTGTGAATATTTTATAATGTGTAACACTACATGCAATATTTAAAAGAAATTGCTGAAAGAAGAAAAAAGAAAATACGTAATTGAATATATTTTTGTAATTTTTCTTTTTTTTGGCACTGTTTTTTCTTTGTCTGAAAATGCTTCATCTACAGCTGAGTGTGTGTTTTTTTTCCACACTGTTTTCCTTCTGTCTGAATTTGCCTCATCTACAGCTGTTTTTTTTTTTGGGCACACGTTTTTCTTTCTGTCTGAATCCACCTGAATGTGTTTTTTTTTTTTGGCACACTACAGCTGAGTCTGGTTTTTTCTTTTCTGGCACTTTTTCTTTCGGTCTGAATTCGCCTCATCTGGAGCCGAGTGTTGTTTAAAAATTTTTTTTGTAGTACACTTTTCTCTCTGTCTGAATCCGTCTCATCTACAGCCAGTTTTTTTCTTTCACTACAATTTCTCTCTGAATCTGCTTCATCAACTGCTATTTTCTTTTATTATAGTTTTTCTCTCTCTCTCTCTGAATATGCTTAATCTGTTAATACATTTTTTTTATGAGACTGTTTTCTCTCTCTCTCTCTCCCTGCCTTAATCTGCTTCACCTACTGCTGATGTTTTCTAGTTCTCAGTATTTTCTGAGGCCTCATCACATGTCCAAAGAACACTGTCTTGCTCCTATAACTGAGAATTTTTTTCTTCTAATTTCAATAGCCAGTAAAAG